AGTTGTTAGATCTCCACCACACTGACTCCGAATTGAAATAATAATAATCATACTAATAATTTTAAAAAATTACGTGGAACTACTGAAAAAAACAATCTGGAGGTTGTTTATTTTCCGAAGATCATTTTTTTCGCAGTATTAATCTAGCCTGTAAATTCAAACACTTCTCATAAAACATAATTTATATCGTTTTCAAAAAAGTGTCAAATATTTAAACCGTTCAATCAATCAGTCTTCATTTGATCAGCAGATAAAACAGGTAGAAGTAATGTGGTGGACCTAAAATATTAAATAAAGACCTATCTAAAAGTGTATACAAATTATATACAGATCAAAAGAAAATGCAATTACATATTAAAATTATCATTACGGTAAAATTGAGTCACAAAGACATGGTAAACATAGAATCAACCTTGTTTGTGTTCGTCATACTAGCACTTGCAGAAACCGTTATTTTTCTCATTTTCCTAAACTTTCACTTTCCTGGGTTAACTCTAGCTTTTTGTATAATTTAAACTCCGTGATAAGCATGTCATTCTGCCTTTAAATACAATATATCCCATACCTAAAATTTAAATTGTTCAAACTTTATCACCTGTTGCAAATAAGTATGTGTGACTTTAGTAAAAGAATAACTTGTCTTATCTCGTGAGTAAGCCATGTGTACTCGGGGGAACCGTGTGTTTTAGTCTGTAAGCCACTGCTTGCAAAGTACGTAGCTACAAATGTTTTTCTGCTTAAAGTATACGCTAAAATACTGAAAAAGAAGGGGTCATTACATATACAACCGAATGCCACCCCTCACACAAAATAGCGTGCTTTCCGCTGATGTTATCACTAATATCTAAGGCTATGTTCACACTTGGTGCCCGAATACGGTGACCGAGTACGATTATCTCTGGGAACCTACGAGAACAGACATTTTGCCAAGTACAAGGTCTTGACCTTGTACTCGGGCACGGGCACTTAATGGTATCTGGGTCTCTGGAGTACACTGTGTCTGAACTCAGCATTATTACTTGCTTACGTATCAACAAATTCAAAACGAAGCATTTCCCTTTACA